ATTTGTGTTTCATGTGGCAGTAACAACACATGTATTGCAGACACGTTCATACTGAAGATCTGATGGTACTATCTGGTATCTCTTTGTGGATATATTCTTTAACAACAATGAAAGTCCTGAACTAAGCCATCTGGATCTTTATTTATAAGCACTAAATATTCACAACCTACTGGCTAGCGGGGCTGTTGCCACCTTTCCCAAATCAGCACAGCCAATAAGTGGGACATGTTGCACACTGATAGCCTTAGTGAGAAAGGAGGACTGATGGCACATTTTTATTGTTATTAACTTTGAGGAATGGAAAGGTCTACAGACAGAATTGATAGATTTGCTATGTTTAATACTGTTGTTTTGACTTTTGATGGTGACCATAGTTTTGCTAATGTAAACTAATTGGATGCATTGGAAGTGGTGGGTTTTGATTGTAAAATGAAAGAATTTAATTAATTTTAATCACATACATTGAATAAAACTTTACAAGGCTAATAATGATGACCTAAAGGCATTTTAGGATTAGTTATAAGTAGCTGTATTAAGAGTAGTAAAGCACTTGCTTTTACTGCTGTTGGATTTCACTTTTACTGCAATAGGTGGGTGTTTAGAAGTGTTTTATTTTCCGTTTACATATGTACATATTTACCATGCAGTAAAATCTGAGTATGAGAATGTGTTTGGGCCACTGTTTATAACTTTGTTCATGTGCATTGTCTAATTTTTTTGGTGGAGAATATTTATTTTATTTCTCTTTTATTAAAAATGTTTGGGGATATGTTGGTTAACCTTGATTAACTTATTGGAAAAAAGGAAGAATAACCATGAAGGTCTATCATTTTTTTTCATATAGAAAACTCTCCTACAAATTATCATGTTACCATTTTCTTTAAAGATATTTGTAATATGAGTTCACGACTAAAAGATTTCTAGATGTGGTATTGCTGTTCATTTCCACTTCTGGAGGTTGTCCATGAATCAGACACAACCACTAAACTGCAGTGACAGTGACTGGTTCTTCTCATTGACCACACAGTATAGGATCAAGAATTAGAAAACCTGAATTATTCTAGGCTATATGACTAATTAATCATCTATGTGTTACTTGTCACATCACTTTACACTTTTCTTTTTTTAAAAATTAGGATTATTCATTATACAGGGGGATTCATAGTGACAATTCCAATTAGACTTATATTGTGCAATGTTTACATTGCTCCCATCGTCTCTCCCACTCCTCACCACACTTAAAGCAATTGTAAAAGGTTTCTTAGTTCTGTTTCATATGGGTTTATGAAGTCCATCTACCATATACTGTCACCTTAATCTCCTTCCTTCACCCACCCCTCTCCTAATAGTACCTTTCCCCACTGTACCTATTTTACAGCATTTACAGTTTTCTATCTTAGTCCTCTTATATTTAACTGGCCTAAAATATATGTTTGTCATAACAAAATATTTTTAAAAGCATCAAGTGAAAATATAAGACCTCTTGTTTTTAATACTAGAATTAATTTTGTTGTTTTTGAGACATGGTCTCACTATGTAGCCAGAGCTAGCCTTGAACTCAGAATGCTCCTGAGTGCTGGTACACTATGCATCACCACCCTGTTTAGAAGTAATTTTGAAAGAGACATTTTGACATTTTTGATGAACTCAGAGAAGTTGAGAGTGGAGAGAACAAGGGAGGTGAGTGAAGCTGATGGACGTATCCTTCTGCTGTTCTCAGGTAAGGAATGAGAAATGTGGACATTAGGATGCTATCAGGGAAACAGATGAAGTCCAACTTGATTTTGCAAATGTAATAGCTCAAAGTTTCACAAAATAATTGCATATCACTTCAATATACTAAGTGTATATGACTTCAATTATTATACACAGGTTTTTCTCCCATCAGTTCTTTTTTGTTATTGCTGAGGTTTTGTTGGACACGAGAATTTTTTAACTCCTATTTGTTGTCATAACTTACTGCACTGGGTGGGAGGGTGAAGTGACTGTATGTAAAGTAGAAATGCCTTGAAATGACTGACCTGTCTTCTCCCTTTGTTTCCTTCATTCCTCCTTTTAGCTGGGGCTACTTTATATACATTTACTAGTTTGCCTATGCCCAGGCACCTGGAAGAACAGTCTCTATTTAGGCCAAATTTAAGGATGTCCCACTAGCAGCTTAGTCGTCCAGCCATTCCAGTCTAACCATGTAGTCACTAAAATTCTGACTCATTTCATAAGAACCTAGTGTCTGTTTTCTGCTCTTTGCTTGTATCCTGCTAGAGCTGTGCTCCTGCTTGCCTAAACTCTTAAAGGGTTGTTTCTCTCTGTGCTCCAGTCCTTGCATCTAGATCCTAACATCTACTGCCATATGTGCCTATGGTTTGTTCACTGGGCTTGGCCAACTACCAAGCTCCTTTGCGTTACTGTGCTTCATTTCCCAGAACAGTTGCCACTTGCTCAAAATTGCATGTCTCTCTCAATACTTACCTACCAGCATCTTCCAGGCTTCTCCTCATTGCTTCCTTCAGAGTCCCCTGACATCTCCTTGCCCCTCCACAACTCTGTTAATTGCTTCTGGGGCCTTAGGAGGTGTCCTGTCAACCAAATAGGTTTCTCTAATGTCTGGGTCCTGGACCCCTGGACTGATGCAGCCTGCGTCAGGTTCTAATAACCAGTGCGGACCCTCTTTGTTAAAAGTTTTCTTCCCTATACAAAATTTGCACCAAGGAAGATTTTCTGTTAAGACTGTATCATGTCCCATGTGGTCAAAAGAGCTCAGTGGTCTTAGGCATTTGGTGCACTTTACAAATACATGAGCAAGAGGACCACGATCTCCAGAACAGAAATTCAAAACTCTATGTACATTTATACATTTTCGCTCAAAACAAAACAAACTCAGGAGATACAAAAAATGACCTGCTAATTAAACAATAGAGACTATTTATCAAAGACTTTATCAATGATTCTAGAAGGGCACAATGTGTAGTGATGCTTGACCATGGAGAGATGGCAGAAGACAACTAGTTAACGATACTGTGGCTACTAACTAAATTAATGTACCTTCACCCCAAAGCCGTCAAGGCATTGTTTTGTTGGTCCCTAGAATTGGCAAATTTTTAAGTGAATTTTAATGCAGCAATTACGGTTCATTTAAATACAAATTGCCCCCTACTAAGAAATTCAGCAAGTTTAGCTAAAGGGAATTATAGCAACCTCTTCAGATATCTAATATGTAATCTTCTCTTTTGAGATCTGAATCAAAGATCTACAAAGGAATGAATCCTTTGATGATAAATGGATTGCTTTGGGTCACTTTTGAAAGGTTAAAGTATATTTGCTATGGTAATGCATTTGGAAGGGGTTATTTGGGAAGAGTGTGGAAATGATATATGAGTATATACCTATCTAGTGAAGAATTATTTGTTCACAATATTAGTGGGCTTTAAAAAAACCTAAATAGAATCTGAAAGAAATACTCAATTTTATTTGTATCTGGGGCAAAATGCTAAGAAAAATAAATTCTTACATAATGCAGACTACAGAGTGACATTATTTAAGTGAATACAATACAAAGTTTTTTACTGCCCCCTGCTGTCAAGTTCTAAAAGGAATATAGCAAAAATTACAGTGCAAATTGACAAGATGAACTAGTTGAACAAATGGATTAGGGAAAATAAGTGCAACACTTTTTTAGCCACTACTATTTCATATTCTTGGCAATGGTTTGCAAAACTAAGAAAGCAACACTAGCAAAGTGTGTTTAACAGATATAGGATGAAAGATATAAAGCTTGTAAATAATGAAATACTTCAAATAAGTAAATACCAGTTTCAACTTTTAGTCACTCATGTCTATTTTTAATGTCTTTCCAAATTAAAATTATTTTGAATTTATCTTTTAATATTCACACAGTTCAAGGCATTTAGCACTAATAAAACTTACAAAATAAATGAATGAGTACTTCTCTTTCAAGTATAACCCTGACTTGAAATGCTATTTGCATTTTGGCATATGAAATTAAGAAATGAGAAATGACAGTTACTAACGCAGCAGTTTACTACGTGCGGGACACTGTTTCATTACGTTTTCACAAATTATTTAATCCAACCATCATAAAATAGAATGAGGTAGGTGTTACTAATGATTTCCACTTCATGGATGAAGAAACTCTGTCACAGTGGGATAAAGTAACTTGATGAAAGTGACATCGCTCATAAAATGTGGAGTCATGATTGGAATTCATAAAGTGTGACTCCTGGATCCCTGTCCTTAACTTTTCTGTATAGAAGAAAGTATAAATTCTTCAATTAAAGAGGAAGAACTTATAGAAATTGTAGTGGACACAGCAGTGAAGATTTTACTGACTGTTAGTGTGCACCATTGCACTGGCGTTTTTGCTGCACCTTTGCTCCAGAGCTAAGAGCCTGTGCAGGAATAGCCAACCTGAAGGGCTCCTAACTTTGACTTTCTTTGATAGAGCAGCTCTGCCTTCTACGGTTGCCTCACAGTGGAGGTGTGTACATGTACTTATGTTTAAGGAGTGGGTCCTGATTTGATCCATGGTTGGCCTGTACACACCACACCTTTGCCTTTCATTTCTGTACAGATGTACAGTGACAACTTCAAGTTATGGCCATGTTTTCATCATCTTCATCAATTCAGATTCAAATATACGCACACTTTTTTTTTCTTTCTTCTTCTTTGGATAAATCAGCATCACATTTTAAGTTTCCCTAACTGTCCTGTATAACAACCTGCCTGTGTTCCTTGTTGCCTCTTGAAGTCTTTTGGTTTCTTTCTAAAGTCAGTAGCACAGATGGCCCATGACAACAGAAGTATCCCACCAGAGACACCTAGGACAACTAATATTTGTGACTTGGGATGCTTTTGCTTGTCCGAACTTGATAAAACTCAACCTCAGTGACCAGAGAACTAAACTACACGAGTCATCTTTTCTCTTCCTACATTAATCCCCAAAGTCAACAAAATCATGAATATTTGCAATAAGAAGTTCTTACCTGACACGAGGAGTTGGATCTCCAGTGACTCTACACTCCAAGTAAACCCTACTTCCTTCCGCGACTTCTTGGCTTTTCAGCTTCTGGATGAAGCGGGGCGCAGACGGGAAGTGGAGCCCTTTCTGGGGCTGTGGGTGCGGGATGCTGTTGGGAGTTCGGGCCACGCCCTGGGCTGCCTGGTAGCAGTGTCTGGCCTCCGGTAACTTGACCTCTGCGTCCATCTCCTGCTGGTCTTCGGTGGGGCTTTGGCTGGCTGAGGCAGTCATCAGGGCTGATGGCTGATTCTTAGGAGACAGGTACCCACTGTCTGGCGAAGAGGACTCCCCATTTGGGTTTCTGTTTCTTGGCCTGGCCGCCTCTCTAAAGATGGATGTCAACTCCTCGATCAGATTGGCTGCCTTGTCACATAGCTGGCCCTGGGGCCCCGACTTACTTTGGTGTGCTGGTTTGGATTTTGCGTTTGGGTTGGGAATTTTTGCACCCCGTTTCTCAGCCTTTCGGAGGCTCCGGATGTAGCTGGGCCTGGCGAGCAGGGGTGACAGAGCAGGCTTTCTCCTTGACACAGGTGAAGTAGTGTGCTCAGGGTGCTCTTCTGCCAGAAGCTGGACAGGTGTTGGCCTGTTTTCCTGAGGCCTTCCTGAGGAGGCCTGCTCCCCCAGTTTGGTCTTCTTGTGGGAAGGAGTTTCACAGAGGCTTACAGGAGAGGTGTTGAAAATCTGAGCGATCTCCTTTTCTGAGTCAAACTCCTCTGTTTCAGAACTGGCTATAGCTCTCCGGGCCAGGTCGAGACTCTTGTGTATCTCTTCCTGGCTGAGAAAAGCAGATAGCTCTGGGAAGAAGTCAGCATTCTTGCTTTCTTCCTGCACGTCTGATAAGGAATCATAGAAAGAGTCATGGGAGGAAGTCTCTGACATATTTCAACAGTCTTCATACACACTTTGCTTTCAACAGGAAGGCCAAAGGCACTGGAAAACACTTTTCCTCTTGTCTTCTGAAAGACAACACAGAACTACTGTCAGGAGTAATAATTATCTGATTTTTATTTATTGTACACAATAATGGGTTCCATTACGACATTATATTCCATTACACATGTATATAATGTACTTTGAGCCTATTCACCCTGGTCCTATTTTTTTCATATTACTACTAATCTACAAAATGAAGAAACAGTAAAGTGAACAAATACATCAGTTTTCTCTCTCCCATAACTTGGAAGGTCAAGTATATCTGTGCTTATAATCTATGATTTTAATTTAATATATGCTTTGTAAAGTATTTCACTAAATAGTATCCACTAATTCAAGAAGATGATATATGCATTAGGCACCATTTTATTATTATTTTTAGTGTTACTGGGGTTTGAATTCAGGGCTTTGTGCTTGCTAGCCAGGTGCTTTACCACTTGAGCCACAACCTTGGTGCTCTCTGCTCCAGTTATTTTTCAGATAGGGCCTCCAGTTATTTTCCCAGGCTTGCCTTGGACAGTGATCCTCCTACCTGAGCCTTCTTCATAGCTGGGATTACAGGCATGCACCACCATGCCAAGCCCAGTAGGCATTATTACACAGCAGGGCATTCTGTCCTTCTCATCTCCCCTTTCCTCATTAAAGCTCTCATTTGAGTAATGTTGAGATTAGTAGCATGTTTTAGTAATTCTGACTGCTCATGTATTTTGCTACAAAATACATTTTAATGATTTCAATTTTCACTTTTCTTGCTTTCTTTTGTAAAGCAGCAAAATAAAGTTCTATAACTATATTTAAAAAGGAACTACTGATAGCACTGGAAAGAAAATTAGGTAAATCAATAATTGTTTTTGGTTTCCAATGAAATGCTCAAAACTTTATTGTTTCATCCTTTCTTGTGTTCAGTCATGTTCATTTATACTCATTCATTCAACATTACTCCAACATATAGTAATCTATCTATAATCACAAATAGGAATCACCTATTAAGTTTCAGGTGCTGGAGGTACAGCTGTGCTCCAGACAAAAGACTCCCAAACGTTCCAGTCAAGAATGAGATAGCAAGTATTTTTTTACTTTGCTGCTGTTATAATTACCCAGTGTGGCATGGTAGCATGAAGCAAGCCAAAGACGATGCATAATTGATTGAGCATGATTGTGGTCAAATAAAACTTTATTTGTGGACACAGCTATTTGGATTTTATGTAATTTTTGCAAGTCAAAAATCATAGTGATTTCATAACAACAATTTAAAAGTATAAGAAAAAAGCACTCTCCTTAGGTTTAAGGCTGTACAACATCAGGCAGCAAGATGGAGTTTGTCTAGAGGATGAAGTTTGCTTATTCTTGATCCAGAACAATGACCTCGTCCTTACATTCAAGGAATTAAAAGTCCAATGGGATGTTAAAATGGGGAAGATAGAGAAGACATTAACCAAATGGTACAGAAATAAAAGAAAATCTTGATAGGGCTTCAAAGGAAAGTGAAAGAGTATGGGAGTCATGAAAGAAAGCCTAATCTAATCTTAAAGGCTATATGAGGAAATTATGTTTTGCATAGGACCTTTATATGGAAATATCATAAGAATTAAGTAGAAGGCATTTCATTATCAGTTAAATAATTGGGTATTGAGTTAAATTCCATTACTTTGGATGAAACATTGTGAGGCAATAACTTTTCTGTTACTCTACATGTGTTCTTCTTTTCCTATACGCTGTTCATAGAATAATAGGAGAAAAGATCTAGAAAACCCCAAAAGTGATCTTTACTTCAAGATTGAGTCTAGAAAGTCAGTAAAGGACCCTATGGCACAGTGAAGCTCATCTCTATAAGACTTGTTAGGAGAAAACCACAATTTCCCCAGAAATTGTGTGTTACGAGGACTGAACTGGGCTACTTGTTGAGATGCAGCTTCCCATCCAGGGAAGTTTCCAGGCTCAATGAGCATCATGCAAGAGTTGAGAAGGGTTCTGTAAATCTTCCTCAAGAATCTACCAAGCCATAGGATGCAGTGAGTCATAGACTATTAATTCAACCAGAGATACTTAATCAGAGACCTAAAAATTTAGTATCAGCCTATCACATCTTCTTTAGATGAATATTGAAATACTGTCTCAGATGTCTTCTTAGAAAGGTTAGTGACTTTATGACACTTGAATTCCAAATTCTGCTAGTCCTACTCTACTTATTAGCTTGTATTTCCCAGGATTCTTGAAGTATATCCCATAAATCCCATTGGGGTGTTCTTGTCATTGTCATTCACCTTTATCAACCTGAACATCACTTTAATTCCTTTGTCTCATCTGCACTCCAAAATAGAATATGTTAATTGCTCTCTGATTATTAAAATACAGCTCAGTTTTGGAGATAAGTTATATTCAGTACATTTTGAATACTCAAATGTTTTGTTCATAAGAAACAGGCAAAGTATAATTTTGAAAAGGTAAAATCATGACATCATGGCAAAAAATAAAAAGGTATAAAATAAATATCCATTCAAGATTTTAACTAATTAATGCTGAAACCGAAGACACTGATGACCAGACACATGAGTAGGCCATTAGGAATGCTAAAATGAATTTGCTTGTAGATTTGAAACTGGTTAATATCTATAGAGCCATAAAATGTAAATTTAGGAATCATTTATGCAGAGTGGAAATCAATATTTCTACTAGGCAAAATTATTTACAGATCTATGAGCATGAATAATTTGCATCGATATCTGATTTCTGCAACTTGTAGAGTAGTACAATTTCCTCAAGACAAAGTCACAGATCTCTATAGAATCAAATGACCCTGGAAGGTTCACAGAGCCCATCCAGCATTTCATTGAAAGGATACCCATATTATTTTGTCCATTTTAAAGTCATCTGTAGTTAGTCCTGAGAAGGCAGATTGGGTCTATCAGTAGAGACCTCCTAAGCTTAGTCAGTAAATGTGCTAGCAAATGTTTGGAGAATCCAGGAGCAGGACCAACTCTTATAATATGTGAGAAGAAGAGATATTAGAAAATATGAACCCAGAAAAGGTTGGGAAAGGAGAGAGACTCTTGGGCTAAAATTATGTGTGTGTAGCAAAGGCACAGCAGACTATATTTTCATTTCTTGCAAAATTTATTTTTCATTGAAAGAGAAGCTGCTGTTTCTTTCCTTCCTTTCTTTTTTTTCTTTTTGGTCTGAGAGAAATTCAGTTTTTGTATTGAGATTTGGTAACATTTAGTGTCTGTCATATCTAGAACAAGTTAAGCTGAAAATCCAAGTAGATAATTGAAAGGAATCTTTGATTCTTAAGATGACTAACTTGAAACCTAAACTGGGATAGATGTACTCCATAAAAGAAATAACCTGTTCACATTGTCTTTATGGTGCATCTGCTACATGCCCAGCGGTGTGCTATGGGGATGGAAATCTGGTAATCACAAGGTTTTAACACTCATAGTCTATAAAGGATATAATTAGGTAATAAGCACATATAATTTAGTGTGTCAAGTGCAGGATAAGAGAAAAACAAAGTAGTATGACAACATCAAGAAGGGAAGGCAGGGTTAGGACTAAGTGAAGTTTTATGAAGAAGATTGAAAGAATGACACATGGTGATTAAATGTAGGGAGGATACAGGATTGATTATGAGATTTTTACTTCAACAAGATGAGTAGTGCCATTAAATCATATTAAACCAAGTTTTAAGGAACAAAATATGCTTAATTTTGATTTGAGTCTTTTGCATTTGAGGGACCTCTGGGACTTCTGGGGTTGATATCCAGAAGGCAGTTTGAGATGCTGGCCTTGAACCCTGGGTTAGAGAGTGCAGAACTGGGCTGGGAATTCTTGGCCTACAGGTGGCTCCTTAAGCCACAGGTTAGATAAGGCTATCAAGAAAGAAAGGACTAGAGAAAAGAATCTCTCAGGGCTTTGGAAGGAGACCAGGAGAGTGGGGCTGGATGGAAATTGGTGAAGAAAAGTCTTATGGAGGAGACATTGTCCTTTTGACTGTAGCTGGCAATCACGGTTTTGGTGTGTGGAACAGAGATGAAAAACAGAGTTCAATGAAAGGAAAGGAAGTGCAGATTTCAAATACACTCTACTGTTTTGAGATTTGTAGAAAGAAGGAGAAACTAAAGGTTCTAGAACAAAAGGGTAGAATCTAATGAGATTTTTGCTTGTTTTGTAGGATGGGGCACAGAAATGTGTTTCAATGCTAATGAATTAGCCAGTAGAAGGGAAGAAGCTGGACATATGTGCAAAAAGGTGGGTGACTTACAGCTCAATCTTTAAGGATGTGAGAAGAAATGGGTTATTAAAATGCAAATGGGTGTTCAGCTTCAGGAAGGGAGGACAGAAGCAGTTCTTCCATTGTCAAAGGAGAGAAGTAATAAAGGGAGGGAGAGAAAGAGAGAGAGAGAGAGAGAGAAAATTATCTGGATAAATTTCCAGTTGAATGAAAGGGGAGCTCCTATCTTAAGACTTTTGCATTTGGATGTTTAGGAAGATAGGAGATTGTTTGAAATACCTGTTGGGAAAGAAAGAGTTCTTGAGAAGGATTTATGGGCAGAGGTGAGGACTTACTTGAAGTTAGATGCGATGTATTTATGGAGTTATTCATCCGTGTGATTGCACAATTCTTTCCAGCAGAGCTTAGAAGTCTGGATGAAGGTGTGAAGATGGATGATCCAGGTTTTGACATGCAGGTGAGGAAGGGAAGTGGGCACAGTTGTTGAGAATATTATCAAGGGATGGGTGGACTCAGAAATCTATGCCGGATTAGAATTCTTGGGTAGGAGTTTGAACATAGACAAGTTAAGAGACTAAAGACCCATTAGAAACAAAGGAAAGGAGTAGTGAGAATGTCTAAGTGAGAACCCCGGAAGGATATATTAGGTAGTGAAATGTCTGAATTGAATATTTTAGAGGTGGAGTTTTCTGACTCCTGACTTCCTTTGAAAAAGAAATCACTTATTTCTTTTAAAAAATTTTAATTTTTATAAAGGTATATTTGACAATTCAAATAGTCTCATTTAA